CAGGCATAATCTGTAGCTCTTTGGGAGGAAAAGAATGTAATTAAAGATTTTTGTGCCCTTTTGGGTTGTCAAATATGTAAAGCTAACAGATAATGCAGGAATTTCAAAAATATAACACTTAACTTTCTTGATAAAAATCTTCAAGATATACCCACATACAGACTAAAAATTATATCAGAATCAAGTATTAGACAAATAGTTTAGAGAATCAAATGATTGCTGGTATGTACAAAGTACTTTTGGTTGTAAGCAATAGCAACCAGCCCTCACCACTTAAGACAAAGTAGGAATGGATTGGAAGAAATCTCATATTCAACAGAGACTAGGAACAGCCAAAACAAAATAAGGGTAACTCTGGGACATTCAGCCTTGAGCTCCACGTACCTTCACCTTGGGGTTCATCCTTTAATGTGATTCAGATCCTGCTGCTCATGAGAGAGAGATTCCCTCCTGAATCAGCCAGCCAGCCATAGTAAGGACCGGGAGAACAGACAGCATTGAGGAACCTTCTTGTGAATCATGGGATTGTTTGCAGAGAAAAAGCAATTTGGGAAATAGACTACCACCAAGAAAATTAAACTGTCACAATTAATGGCAGAGTATTCATCTTCTAAATAATTTTGCTTACACAAGGTTTTGCATTATGGTATTTTACGCTTTTTAAAAGCGTAAAAAAAATGAATATTCACATGTTATAAAATAGGATGATTTGTAATAAAACCTTGAATAACATGTAAATACATGAAGTTCTTCCATTAAAAAGCAAAGACACTTAGATTTTAAAAATCTAGTCCCAGGATATATAAAAATAGCTGTCATTAATTAAGGGCTTAATGTGTGTCAGGAAGTACAGTAAAGTTAGATAAAGTGAGTGAAATATACTTGTGGAAATTTAAACAACATATACAGCATAACATGGTCAGTAAACTATAGAACAGGAATCTATCTAAAGGCAATGTCTCTCCATAATGCTTTTTGTTCTTTACAAGAAATCCCCTTCTAAAAAATTACAAAGTAGAATTAACAAAATGTAATGTAAACATTAAATAGAAAAAATTACTAGTAACAGTATTAATACTAAAGCTTAACTAAGGCAAAGGGCACTAAAAGGACAAAGATAAATGTATTTTTGATGAAAGATGTATTTATTATATACTAGAGGTCCAAAAGTTAATAAATTTGATACAATAAATTACAGAATCAAAATTCTAAAAGAGTTAATACAGAGATAGTAACACTGTTAGGAGAACCCACTATTCCATGACAGGTCATTATTCAAAAAATAAGGAATTTCTACTTAAATTGTAATACCAATACCTTATATATTTTTAGACTGAATTACAAAAATTGGTCATAATTTCAGTTGATCAAATTGTTACTCAGCTGCAATGATACTACAAATTATAAAAAGCTAAATTTACCTAGGATACATTTTGCAACAGTAATATAACTAAAAATAAAAAACTTATTCTTTAATTTCTCTCAAAGTAACAGAAATAGTGGACATACAAAAAGTATTGGCTCAGAGTATATATTCAGATGTATGTATTTCTTAGATTTCTATATTATTACAACTACTTTTAACATCTCCAAATAAAATGGACTAAATTGTAGAAAATTGCAAGTAAACAATTGATTTAAATAAGGGAGAAAATGTATTTAGACCATTACCTAAGAAAGTGTTCAAAAAGTTAACTCCATCCTGTGGGTTTTATATAAGTGAATTTAAAATTTTAAATATGTACTGTTCCAGAATATAGATAAATATGGTAACTCAGGTGATCTTATGAAGCTGCTGTAATAATAAACCTGTTCCCTAGGAAAAGAAAACTAATATATTACCACTCCTTAGCTATGTTGAAGAAGTTCTTGGAACAGTTAAATAGAAATAAGAGAGCTTAATATTAAAAGGAAGAATTTACTTTAATGTTCCCTTTACCTAGAATGATTTTGCCCCAGATGCATGCATGGCTTGCATAAAATTTTAAAATACCATGAAGATAATTGAAAGACAAATGACAAACTGGGGAAGAAATTGCAACATATGGTAGACCTATGGCATTATAGCCTTACTATTGAAAAGAGCCTTTAAAAATCAAGAAAACAAAGATTAATACCAATAGGTGGATAACATGAATAAGCAATTTTCAATGGCATAATAATAGTTAATATTTCAAGGCTTATTTATCAGACACTGTGCTTAGCTTGTCACTTCATTTACTGCTGTTCTTGTTCTCCAGATGAAGTTGAGGCTCAAAAAGGTTAGGTGACTTTCTCAAATCCAGAACAGTATATGTATTCATTTGCAGTGAGGCAAAAGAGTAGAAAGAAAATTGTTTTCTTTACTTCTGAATTACATAATGGAGTTAATTTTCTTCGTTATCCTTTTCTAAGTATTTTTCCAGATCTGCCTCTTTGAGGAGTGTGTGTCCTTTTATACTCAGAAAAACTTACTAATTGTTTTTAATATTCATGTTCTTTTTCCCAGTAATTGATCTTCGAAGGAAACACTCCTAAATAAACAATTCTACAGACATACAAGACTTTTTATTCAAATGAATATTACAGCCTTGTTTTTCAAGCAAAATATTAGTGATGTTAAATGCTTGAATCTACAGGGAAAGGCCTATTATAGCATTAAATGGAAAGTAGTTAGAAAAGGTAAATAGGAATATCACGCTAAAAATTAAACCTGCAGACTTGTGGGATGAAAGGCAAAGAAAAGAAGTGAGGTGGCAGACCTACTGTTTTTTCCTCAACCTCCCTTCTTTTCTGTATTATCCCAACTTTTCTGTAGAAATCTTATAACTAGAAATACTTTTGTTTTTAGTATTAAAGTAATTACAGACATTGTAGAAGCCAAGGTATGGACAGAAGAAAGAACAGTTGTTAGTAGCAACAGAAGAAAGGAAAATCATTTAAAAATAACCGTAAATAATCAATATATTGTTTATAATCATGACATCATCACACTAACATTTTTATTATATTATGTTCATATATCCCAAACATGTATTATATGTCTGGTCATCTTGGACATCATTTATGCTTTATTATATCATGCTTAATTTATTCTAATATCTAATCTCTCAGTTACTATTTTCCATTTATTGGGGGGGTTTTTTTGTTTTAAGTAAAACCATTCTTAGTGTTTTTAGAAGGTAGTGTTCGAGGTTATTTAAGTGTTCTTGTTTTCAGGGCAAGAATATTCGTTTTATTGTGGAGAAAAGTAGAGCAGTATAATGAACTCCCTTGGACCTATCACCTGGCCACTCTTACTTCATTTATAACCTTCCCCTCTTACAACTTGCCTCCTCTTCCTCTGCCCATGTGGATTATTTTGGAACAAATCAAAGCAGGTCTGCTAGCATATTTTTTCATATACTTTTTTTCCCAATCCTAAGTGCTGATCATTTTTTTTTGCCAATAAAGTTCTCAGAATCATGGAGAACACAAAATTTTAAGACCTAAATAATTATTTAGTGCTATCTACCATTCTAACTGCTTAAATCTTCCAGTGGTGAAAAAGTTGCTTCTGCCTCTAAGCAACCTTAAATACTTGATGAATAACAGCCCTTCAGATGTGCTTTCTGTTCTGTTTTTAATGGCTTTGCTTAGTGGTCATTCCTCTGGATACATTGAAGCAATCTGTATTTTAATATGTATCATACAGAAATTAATGCATTGTAAACCGAGCTTTCTTCCCTTTGTAAGAACTGATTTTTAAAAGTGTTTTTGCTGTTTTCACAATAAAGCTTCATCAGTTCGTTTGTTTGCTTCTCCAGGTAATTGAAATTTTCAGGTAACATCCAATATAAAAGCTCTAAAATCATTTAGAGACAAAAATTAAATATGAATCTTGAATTTTTCTCTTTGACAAAATTCTGTTAATAAGTTACAGAAGACTTTTATAGACACCACAGTAAATAGACACTTCATGTACAAAAAATTGGAGATTGATAGACATTAAATTAAGCTGCTGTCCATCTTGTGCATAAAATATGAACTACTGTTAGTGTTGCATTAATGGGAAATATTTAATCCATTTTCTGTTTACAAATGACAAAGGCATGTTCTATTAAAGCATTTGAATACACTAGTTTCTTGAGTATTTAAAAGGTAAAGGAACCTTGTAACTAACATATTTATATTAAGAAATAGAATGTAAACACCTAATGACCTCAAGTTTTTTGTATTGTCTCCTAAAGAAGAGCAGCATCACTGACATATGGGTCTGATGTAATTTTGTAACTCATTCAAATACAAAGTAAGTGTATTTGAAATGCTTTACATGTAAACATGAAAATGCTTTACTATGTAAATACTATGTAAGAAAGCATTACTTTATTATGAAATTAGAAGTACTATCGCACTAGAAAAACATCCTTTTTACTAGATGCCTTAAATAGTCCCCAATAAGTCATAAAGAATTAAGGAAACAAAAGACCTTGTATCACTCTGTGTGTCACATATAGAATTTGTATTTAGTGTCTGAACGTATTCATAAGCATACACCAGATGTACATGTGTTTGCTCAATTCTACACATGCATTCCTAGAATGGGTAATTTTTCAAATACTGTTCTTGACATTAGGTTTGTTTTTTATTGTCTAACGTACCCTGACTCTTAAATAATTTCTTCCACAGTTTTTTATATGTAAACTACTATATTACTTGTTAAATGTTTGGGTGTTTTTATGTCCAATTGTATGAATATCAGTCATCTTTGTGTGTGACTAGAGTCTTATAGGACCAGATAATAAATATTTTAGGCTTTGTGAGCCAAGACACAAAATCAAGGGTATTGTGAAGGTTTTTATATTAGAATGGAACCATTTATAACTGTATAAAGCATTCTTGGCCCGTGGACTGTAGTTTGCTGACGCCTGGACTAGAGTATGGTCACTGTATTTAATATTTAGTGTGTGGTAAGTCATACAGACAGGCAATAAGTAGCCTTGGATAAACTTGGATAATATAATACATATTTAGACACAGTAATTTAAGGTAAGTTTTTTGAAAATTATTTTATTGAGTGCGTTTTTTTGAAAGATAAGTAAATGTCTGTTGGAAGCAGTGATTTTCTAACAGTACTATATTTAATGTATTTGCCTCTCCCTCCCCCTACTAAATTTATCTATGTGGAATTAAGTTGAAAACTGAATATCAAACAGGATATAAGCATTGACTGAGGGAGAGATCCCATTCACAGAGCACTTTTATATAGAAAAACTCTTTGCTGGCACAGAAATAAATTTCTTAAAGTCAAGCAGTTGAAAAAAATTAAACTTTAACAAGCACCAGTCTTAATGCTGGGGCCTAAACCATACTTTTTTATTTCATGTGTTTACATTTTGTGGCTTTAAAAGTAGTTCCCACTGCCAGGCGGGCGGGGAGGGGCAGGTTTTGATTCCCACCATGGCTATCACACAGTTTCGATTATTTAAAGTTTGTACCTGCCTAGGAACAGTATTCTCCTTCCTAAAGAGATTAATATGCAGATCTGGCAGAGGATGAAAATTAAGTGGAGATCAAATAACTTTGCCAACTACAGTTGATTATTCATCAGTTCCTAAACAGACAGATGTTGAAGAGTGGACTTCCTGGGATGAAGACGCACCCACAAGTGTAAAGATTGAAGGAGGGAATGGGAATGTGGCAACACAACAAAACACTTTGGGGCAGTTGGAACCTGACTATTTGAAGGACATGACACCAACAATAAGGAAAACTCAGAAAATCATTATTAAGAAGAGAGAACCATTAAATTTTGGCATCCCTGATGGTAGCACAGGTTTCTCTAGTAGATTAGCAGCTGCACAAGATACGCCTTTTATTCATCAATCTCCTGAATTAGGTGACTTAGATGCCTGGCAGGAAAATACCAATGCATGGGAGGAAGAAGAAGATGCAGCCTGGCAAGCAGAAGAAGTTCTGAGGCAGCAGAAGATAGCCGATAGAGAAAAGAGAGCAGCAGAACAACAAAGGAAGAAAATGGAAAAGGAAGCACAGCAGCTAATGAAGAAGGAACAAAACAAAATTGGTGTGAAACTTTCATAACAAATGTTCTTCAAATATCATAGTGCCAGTAGGAGAATATGTGCTCCACAACCCAAGCAACATTTATATGGGCTTAAGAGTATTTTCAGATTACAGAAACACTGCTTGATTTTAATGCATTCATCAGATCATCCAGGACACCAGAAATCTCTCAATGTACCTTGAATTCTCAATGATTGAAACTCAAAAACAAAAAAAAGACATAGGAGACAAGATTTTCTTCAACAAGCTCCAAGTGTAGGACAATTGTTTGCTGCAGAGAAATTATTACAAGTGGAATATACCAGTACCTCTTCAAGCTAGTGTTTCTAGCTCAGTAAATGGGTGTAAATAATTTTATGATGGGAAAGAACTCTGCTGTCAATAATGCTTTCCTTCAGTGTGCATAATGATAAAATAAATAATTTTAAATATTAAAAAAAGAGTAGTTCCCACATGCTACTATAACACAATATCCAGGATTGCTGATTCTTCTTTTCTAAAACTGATTTGATAATGATATTGTAGTTTTAATAAAATGTCTGGTTTATTTGCAGATCTTCTTCAGCAGTACCGCACTGCTGTGGCCAAGCTGAACACTGTGATCGAGGACCTCAGCCGTCAGTCCCAGTACCTTCACACCCCTGATATGAAGAAGAAGAAACAAGAACTTGATGAACAAGAGAAAAATCTGAAACTAATAGAACAAAAACTAGGTGTGTGCTTGCTCTTTGTTACTTCTGCTTTCTGTACTTGAGAAGAAATGTTTAGAGAGAGTTCAAGTGCGAGAAGGAAGAATGAGATGCTCCCAAACTTAAATGCAGGTACTCTTGACCTCTGTCCTTGGAAGAGTGGCTGTGACTGTTTTCTCAGCAGCAGGAGTAAGAAGCTTTCTCAATATTAATTACTGATTCTTTTCCTATGAATTTGTTTGCTTTTCTCAGTAATAATAATCCCAGTCTTTTAAAAGTTAATTTCTGCGTTTTCTGTCTTTACAGGTATGACTCCCACACGTAAGTGTAACGACTCTCTGCGTCACCCAGCAAAGGCTGAAATGATAGGTTGTCCAGTTCCTCCTAAAAGAGCGAGAAGAGAAACGACAAGACAAAATAGGTGCGTGTCTTACGACCTGAAAGTTATCAGTGGTTAGTTTATCCAAGCTCTTGGTTCATCATATTTCAGAAACAGCATGAGTTTATTTCTCATTTCCCTCTTGAGCCAGAAGTAGGTTGTTTTTTGGTTTGGGTTTTTTTTTTAACTTAGTGATGGATAAAAATAAGACATTATGTTCTGCTAGGATACTCCAGTTTTCTAAATGATTTTTCCTAATTATTTGGAAGTGTTAATGGTTTGTTGTTATAAGTTGGTGTTAAGTCAAACAATAGAAAAGCCATTTAAATCTTAATGTTCACATACACTGTATTTTGCTTCATAGGATCAGCAACTTACTAAGTTAGAATATGTAAAACCATTTGTACAGTACTTATTTAAAAATAGCCTATACAGTTTGGTTGTAAAATCATAAATACGATATAGATAGCACATAAAAAAAGAAAGAAAGCTATCTGCAGCCTAACTCAGTGGTAAGAAAACTGTCCTTTTTAGATTAGATATTAGTAAAAGATTCCCACAGAAGGGATCCATGGTACTGGGGTTTCTTGTACATTTCCTCAAAAGGTTTAAATATAGACTCTGCTTGAATAAGAGTCTAATGGACCCTTCAAGACTTTCTTGAGACTGTGGTGTTTGAACTTGGCAGTCCATGTCCTATCTGTCCGCACAGCCCACATCTGTTCAGTCACTGTTTGCTGATTTTATGCTGCTTGTTGCTGGGTGAATAAAAGTGCACCGGTTCTTGCTACCATGGCACTCACAGTCCTGTGTAGAAGGACAACTCAAAAACAAATATTTTCTGCATATGACATAGAGAATGTTAAATTCTGTGGAAGAAAAAGCATGAAGTGATATAAAATAATGGAGAAAATATATTCGTTGTCAGGAAAGATACATTTTAGCAAAGAACTGAAGCATGAGAAGAAGCCAACCGTAGATGGATTGGTTTGAGTCAGAGGGAAAATAGGTATGAAAGCTCTGAGAAAACAACAAGTGTGGCATGTTTGAGGAACAGGAAAGATGCTTTTGTGTCTAAAGCATGGTGGGAAAAGGGAGATGGTCCCAAGATGTGGTTGGGGAAGTGGACAAAAGCCATATTATGCCCCTCGCCCCAGTCCTATGTTGCAAATAATTATGAGATAAAGTTCTTCATGTTCTAAGTCCATTAATGGTGTGGTGTACAGGGAAAAGGTGTCTTGGAATAGTTGCCTTTTGATTAGGGAGGAGACTACTAAAATAAAATGAGATTGTAAGAATACAATACTCATCAATATGTTAGGGACCTCTTGGCATGTGAATGATGTCTGTTTATTATGTACATAGAAACTATTATGCTGACCATTGAAAGAGTGTTGGGACAATTTAGCATCAGAAAGAACATTTGCAGTGGATTTGAACACATAATTTTTACAAATCAAAAATGATGCAGAGAAGTTCCCTACTGGTCATGGTTGACAGTTGTGAGGGCACCAAACAATTACTGTAAAAATTGATGTGTTTGTATAGAAAAGACATGTGTTCGTTCTTATATGAACTGCCTTTCAGGGTAACCAAATCCTAAAAGACATTCTTTATAGAAGTTCTTCTTCAGAAACATCTATTATAGAAGAATAGAGTAGAAGAGGCATGCTAAAGTCACATCATAATTTTGCCACCCTAATAAAAGAATACTTCTAGCACTGATAATTAGTGGATATTCAAATGATTAGGTAAAAAGTTTATGGGAAGACTTAATGGCAAGATCAGGTTGATATGCCTGAACCCACTAATCAATCAGATATTGGCTGTTATGTGATACTTCAGGAAGTAACCTGAATCAGGGAAGTTCCATGTCATCTCCCAGCTGGAGTTCTGAGGAAGAATTCAGCACTGCAGGAAACTAAGACTGTTTTCCCTAGGAGAGTACAGAGCTGGTAACAGTCTAAGCGTATAGGTGGAGGTTAATCCATCGCATTTAGTAGATGCCTTAAGGCATTAGAGCTTAATTATCTCACAAAGTCAGGAAGGGCTCAGTTTAACTACAACTGTACAGAAAATAAGGGGAATTTAGGAAACTAGTTATATAATGCTACCTCCCGGTGGCAATCAGCCAAATCCAGATGTCAGACAGGATACTGAACAGGACAAATGACTGGTTTTGTTAATAAATCAATGACAAAAGAAGGATAGAGAGAAAGTTAAACTGTTTGTTATAGAATAACAGTGATTGGAAGGTAAAAGTCAAATGCAGTGTGTAGACTTTGTTTGGATCCAGATTTGAATCTTTAAAATGATAACTGAAAATATTGGGGAAGTTTATCACATGGTTATTAGATATATTAAGGAATTGCTCATTTTGTGTATACAAAATTATGGTATTTATATTAAAATAGGTATATAGTTAGAAATGTACTGAGCTATTTATTGGTTAAATAACATAATGTCCGGGCTCTAAAATACTGTAGGAGGAAAAAAATTGATTGGGGATTGGACAAAAATATTATAATTACTGAGGTTTGAAATAGGAGTTCATTTTATTAGTCCCTCTGTTTTTACATAGGTTTGCCATAATTTTTAAACAAGTGTTCTATTAAATATGGGGAACATTTTTCCAGTTTTTCAGGAAACCAGTAAGGAAATGCCTGCCAAGCAATTATAGATTAAAGAACATATATTTTAAAAAAATGTTTTTTATTACAGTATAATGATATACAATCTTATGAAGGTTTCACATGAGCAACATTGTGGTTAAAACATTCACCCATGTTATCAAATCCCCCCCACATACCCCATGGCAGTCACTGTCCATCAGTATAGTAAGATGCTATAGCGTCATTGCTTGTCTAACCCACCTACATTATGTATGCTAATCATAATGCTCCTTAATCCCCTTCTCCCTCCCTCCCTCCCCACCCTTCCCACTAGTCCCTTCTTGGAGTCTGTGAGTCGGCTGTTCTTTTGTTCCTTCACTTTTACCTTGTTATACTCCAATAATGAGTGAAACCATTTGGTACTTTCTCTTTTTAGTTTTTTGAGGAACCTCCATATTGCTTTCCACAATGGTTGAACTAATTTACATTCCCACCAACAGTGTTGGAGGGTTCCCCTTTCTCCACATCCTCACCAGCATTTGTTGTTCCTTGTCTTTTGGATGTTGGCCATCCTAACTGCAGTGAGGTTATATCTCATTGTGGTTTTAATTTGCATTTCTGTGATAATTAGTGATACGGAGCATCTTTTCATGTGCCTTTTGGCCATCTGAATTTCTTTGGAGAAGTGTCTGTTCATATCCTCTGCCCATTTTTTAATTGGGTTATTTGCTTTTTGAGTGGTGAGGCATGTGAGCTCTTTATATATTTTGGATGTTAACCCCTTATCAAATATGTCATTTATGAATATATTCCCCCATACTGTAGGATGCCTACATACTGTAGGATACTTAGAGTATCATTTGCTGTACAGAAGCTTTTTAGTTTGATATAGCCCCACTTGTGTTCATTTTTGCTTTCGTTTCCCTTGCTCAAGGAGATATGTTCATGAAAAAGTTGCTCATATTAATATTCAGGAGATTTTTGCCTATGTTTTCTTCTAAGAGTTTTATGGTTTCATGACTTACATTCAGGTATTTGATCCATTTTGAGTTTACTTTTGTGTATGGAGTTAGACAATAATCCAGTTTCATTATCTTACATGTAGCTGTCCAGTTTTGCCAACACCAGTTATTGAAGAGGCTGTCATTTCTCCATTGTATGTCCATGGCTTCTTTATCATATATTAATTGGCCATATATGTGTGTGTTTATATCTGGGCTCTCTAGTCTATTCCATTGATCTGTGGGTCTGTTCCTGTGCCAGTACCAAATTGTCTTGATTACTGTGGCTTTGTAGTAGAGCTTGAAGTTGGGGAGGTTAGTCTCCCTAGCTTTATTCTTCCTTCTCAGGATTTATTTGACTTTTCAGGGTCTTCTGTGGTTCCACATGAATTTTAGAACTATTTGTTCTAGTTCTCTGAAGAATACTGTTGGTATTTTGATAGGGATTGCATTCAATCTGTAGATTGTGTTAGGCAGGATGGCCATTTTGACAGTATTAATTTTTCCTATCCATGAGCATGGGTTGTATTTCCATTTACTGGTGTCTTCTTTAATTTCTCTCATGAGTGTCTTGTAGTTTTCAGGGTATAGGTCTTTCACTTCCTTGGTTAGGTTTATTCGCAGGTATTTTATTCTTTTTGGTGCAATTGTGAATGGGATTGTTTTCCTGATTTGTCTTTCTGCTAGTTCATTGTTAATGTATAGGGATGCAACATATTTCTGTATATTAATTTTGTATCTTGCAACTTTGTTGAATTCAGTTATTAGTTCTGGTAGTTTTGGGGTGGATTCTTTAGGGTTTTCTATGTACAATCTCATGTCATGTCATCTGCACACAGTGAGAGTTTAACTTCTTCCTTACCAATCTGGATACCTTTATTCCTTTGTGTTGTCTGATTGCTGTGGCCTGTACCTCCAGAACTATGTTGAATAAAAGTGGGGAGAGTGGGCATCCTTGTCTTGTTCTTATCTTAAAGGAAAAGCTTTCAGCTTCTCGCTGTTAAGTATGATGATGTTGGCTGTGGGTTTGTCGTATATGGCCTTTATTATGTTGAGTTATTTGCCCTCTATACCCATTTTATTGAGAGTTTTTATCATGAATGGATGTTGAATCTTTGTCAAATGCTTTTTCAGCATCTATGGAGATGCTCATGTGATTTTTGTCCTTTTTGTTGTGGTGGTGGATGATGTTGATGGATATTCAAACATTGTACCATCCTTGCATCCCTAGAATAAATCCCACTTGATCATGATGTATGATCTTTTTGATGTATTTTGAATTCAGTTTGCTAATATTTTGTTGATGATTTTTACATCTATGTTCGTCAGAGATATTGGTCTGTAATTTTCTTTATTCGTGGTGTCTTTGCCTTATTTTGACATTAGAGTGATGCTGGCCTCATAGAATGAGTTTGGAAGTATCTAAAGAACATATTTTGAGGCTGCACCGCAGCCTCAGCACTGAGTTAGCCCAAGAATCTTGCAGTTACTACAGCACTTACACAGGTGTCACTGATCTGGATCTTAAGATTTTGTAGCAATTCATAGGTGGTATGGGCTAAAGTTAGTTTTTTAGTTTATCTTAATGTTGTTACTAGTGGTGGTGCCATTTTCATTAAGGTCATACATGTATATAAATCAAATAATATTAGGTTCAGCATTGTACTCTAATGTGAGAAACACATGTTAGAATTTTCTAGGACCCATATTAAAAAAGCAATGAAATTAATTTTAATAAAGGATTTTATTGAGCCAGTATACAGAATATCATTGCAGCATGTAAACAGTATAAAAACTGGTTGAGATACTTTAAATTATGTTTTTCATACAAAGTCTTTGATGTTTGGAAGACAGCAAATCCCTGATAGGACTTGCTACATTGCAAATGCCCCGGAGATGAATGTGGGTAGGGGCTACCAGATTGGACAGCACAGATGCAGAAAGAGCTCATGATGATGAAATCCTGTCTTCCTGTGTGTTCTCACCCCATCCTGTTCCCCAGAGGCACCAAGTTATTCTTCTGTTAACTCCATTTTCAAAAAATGTATATTTTTGTCTCTGGTTCTATCAACTTTCAGATAGTACAGCTTAACCAACCCCTTAGTATAGAGGTCTGCATTGCCTGTCCCACCTAATAACTTTTGGACTGAATTATTCTGAATTATTGTAAAACTTACCCTCTGTCATGATTAGTTAGTTATATACTATCCTGTGACCACAACCAAGTCCTCCATGCTTTCTTCGAAGGTGGAAGCCTTGAACCACATATATTAGTATGCCTCTGTAATATTTACTACTAAGCAAAGTTACTCCAGTGCTAGGATTACATTTCCTTTTCTTTAGGGTTCTAGGCCAACAGCCAGTGTTCCAAACATCAGGATCAAATAAATCTTCCATACTGTGTCACCTAAAATAATTTAAATTTTAGTCCAATTATTAGATATATCTTGGATGTTGTTAATTTTTCTGAAATTCCTTATTTCCTTTCTTTTTTCTTAAACCATTTATCTTAATCACATACTCTTCCTCCAGCCCCAGTGACTGATAACTGGCCTCTTGGCTCTTCCTTGGCTGCTCTTTTAGGCTGAATTCACTGTTCCTTGCATTCCTTGTCTTTTTCTTTCTTGTAACTTCCTTAGGGGAAGTATGTACCAAGAAACTTGGGCCCTTACATTTCTGAAAATATCTTCATTCTGCCTTCACATTTAATTGAAATTTTCTGGAAATAACAGGATAGAAACAAGGCTAAAATATATAAAGGAGGAGAGACAGGGAAATCATCTAGAAACAGTGGGAGACAGTCGCCTGATGGAACCCAGAGAGACTGTGGACTCAGAGCAACAAAACAAGGGAAGATGGGAGCAAAATGGAAGAGGAGAAGAAACCATAGCCTAGAACATACCAAATTTCAACCCAGAACTTTGGAAGCTTTGTTCCCTTGTTTCCAGATATTAAAGATGCCACTGCTAGATTAGATAACATGGTAATTAGTTCATTAAATGTTGGTGTATTGGCTTCAGATGTAGTTGGTAGAACCCTAGAGGCTTGTCTAATGCTGGCATCTAGGGAGCTAGCAGCCTGATAGTTGGTTTTCCAACCACACGCTAAAAGCCTGCCAGCCTACTGACCCTGCTCTGTCCTGCCCCACTTAAAATTTCCACTCAGAGAGGAGACTTCATGGGAGAATAGTTACGTTTTTGTAAAAGGAGAAGAAACGCAGACCCAGCAGCACTGTCTGCTTTCTTAGTTTCAGTCATAGAACCCAGAGTTGTCATGCACCTGAGGGTGCAACATGTGGGAGAGAATCCGAGCTGAATAGTAAACCAGCCCTGGGAGATGTTCCAGCCAAACGCTCTTGAATTTATAATTCCTAATTAGATTGTAGAAGGCGTTATAGTCATGAAACCCAGAGGGTATTAGAAAGAAACAGACAGTACAAGATTATGTATTATAAATATTGTTGCTGAAATAAAAAATCAAAGAACTAAAGTGGGAGAAACTTTCCAGAAAATTAGAAAACAAAATCACACGAAGGAAAAGGGGACATAGAGAACCAATTCAGACTATTAGGCATCCTAGAAAGAAGAAAATGGAGAAGATAGATGGACATGAATCTCCCTGGTATGAACAAAGGGCCCATAGGATGCCCAGCACAATGACTGACAGAAGATGCACCAAATTAATTCATAGCAAAGTTTTAGAATATGAAGGAAAATTTTTCATGTTTCAGAGAGCAAAAGAGAGAGAACTGTATTATTGATACAGCTTTTACACAGAAGGCAAAAAATGAAAAGTTAGCCATTGTTTAGCTTTACAGTGTTAGAAGTTTTAGATTGAGGATTTGGTGTGTTCTAGCCTATGGCTTCCTCCCCTTTTGCATCCCATTTATCTGAGAAATTTTAAGTCACTTTAAATTTCCATTTAAAACTGGTGTTCCTTAAATTTCAATTCAAAATTTAAGTTTCTGTTAATTAGTAATTTCCTCATTCCCAGTCTCTACCAATTCTCCATAAATCTTGAACTAATAATTCTCTTACTATCTCAGAAATGTTAGAATATTTAAAATTAAAGTATCTTGACAATACTGAAATAGTGAAATTTTTCATACATATAATCAGGAAACAATTTAAGAGTAGGAAATAGCAACATAGTATGTGTATGTGTTTATTGGTATGTTTTTATTTATATTTGTATATGGACATTACCTACTTAAATTTATTGTTAGTGTTCATAGAGATTACATTTTATTTCATCAACTCTAATTTGTCATTAATTATAATAAAACCATTACTTCATGAAACATTAAACACTAATTTACTCATAACATTGAAAGATGGATTTCAGAGATGTCACATGTGGAAAAAAATTATTTTAGAATCAAGAAAATATGCTTAACACCATGTGATACCACACAGACTCATTTTCAATAGACTTAAGTTTTCTAATTCATTTTCTGTTCATAAGTTACAAATTAGCTCTTTTATCAAAAATGTGTCTTCTTTTTGGAAATGGCAATTCAGGGAACTATCACTAGAAAATAAAGTATTTAAATATATCTGAATAAAAAAATCTGATAAATGTATATATACCAAAGACTTCACTATGTTCATTTCTTATGTGAATGGAATTAAGGGTATTTTTAAATGTGTTTCCTTTAGTTTGTCATTATTTTGTGACTTTATATAGTAAGCATTATAATTCCTGCTAATTTCTTAAGTAATGATTTCATTTAAGGAAAGGGGAAAAGTAAGCAAAAATCAGCAGGCTTTGCATCTGAGATATACCATTCCAAAGAACTATGGTACAAAGTACTTCTTCCTTTATATAGGTTAACTACTGCTTTTATTATGAGGTTTTGTAGGGAGGGGAGCCTACATGTGATAGAAGTGATTATATACGTGAATTTAATTAAATCTGTTTATGCCAAAAATATATAATTAATAGAATACAGTTCCATTCAATGCTTAACCATCTAGGTCTGATGAGGGAATTCAGGGAAAGAAGACTTTTGATACATAAAATTTATTAAGTTTTTTTCCACTTTGACCAGGACTGTAACCAAAACAGATGTGTGAAAGATGACAGAGAAGAGAGGGCATTGGTCTCACTAAGAGTGCCCTGCCTTCTGGACTTCTGTTTCAGAAGACAACGAGGGTGATTTACCAGACTGAATATTTCTGGCGACAGTACACCTGGGCATACAATTCCGTGTCTGTTCAATGGGACTGAAAGCAACCATTCAATATCACAAATCTCAGTGGACACTGTGTACTTATTGGAATTATTCCAGTCATCATGCCCATTGGTTGTCATCTTGCAAAGAGGAAAGTGTGCAGACAAGGCAGTGACTGTAAAACTGGCACATGGCATTTATTAATCCTGAAGGAAAGTGTATGTACTATTTTTCAGTATGATTACTATGGGTATACTAGAAATATTTCTTGAAAATAAACCCTTTTATTACTTTCCTGTGAAGTTATTTAACAAAACTGTTCTGTTTTATCTAAGGAATTGTCTGTTGTATCTAAGGAAGATTCTAGAGGTTAGGTATTTAATTGTAAATATGTGAGGAATCTCTTAATGAAGAATTCAGAATAAAAACAGAAAAAGCACAGGTATCTGGGAATTCAAATGTTGGGATACATGGAAAACGTTAAATTGGTGAGTGAATTTGTGACTACAGTAGCATTTTAAATTTCTAAAGATTTACCTGTAAATATACAAAATATGCAGCAGCAGCAATTTTTATAAATATTGTTTGACTTTATTAATACTAGATTATATAGTCTCAGCTTTAATTTACATTTACATTATTTTGTAATTTTGTATTACTATTTTTAAAGAGTTAAAGAAGTTGTACACTCCCACAGTAATGCAATAAGGGTCTGCTAGAAGGTTGCTGCAAAAAAAACATTTGAACTCTGTATTAATTCATACTGATGTATGTCATTATGTATATCTTTGTGTAAGTCCGGGACATTCGGGCTGTGAAGTTATTTTGTAAGGAAATACTTTTGGTACAGTTTTGTGTCCCAGGAAATGTGTTTTTTTTAATCCTTTCTGAATATACAGTGAAGTTAATAAAAGAGGATTGTTTCTCCCCTATTGAATAGTAGATCCATGTTTTCCTTTTTTAAAATGGGAAGCTCCATAACATTACCTTGGTAAAAACTGTTACAATGTTAACCTGTCTTTATAATTGGAAGTCACTTAAATGTTTTATTGAAGAAATAATTTAGTGATAATAGAATTAATTAAAGGAAAGATTAGATTCCTTTTAAGTGAAACTAGTTCTTATTAGTTGTTAAATATCAGTGCTAACAAGAGAAAGGTTACATCTAAATTTTTTATACTTTTGATGATATGATTTGGTTACTTATGGTAATTATGAAATGGGTGAGATTAATTCCATTACATTTTAAATATATAATTCTTAAATATTGTCTAGTAAAAAGTTTGAATTTGTATCGTTTTTATACTGTCAAAATGTCTTCAGTTATATCTGCTAAACATTTTCATGCCATCATCTCGTCATGGTTATATAATTTATAAAATTACTTTCATTTATGTTATTTTGCATGTCTGTTTAATAATAATACCTCTTTTGACTTCAAAAAGAAGTTGCTACTTTTTAGCTATATGTCTTTTGATTTAGAGATAGCAGCATTAAGATTCATGGTAGGACATTTGGCCTTAAAATATTATCTCAAACATAAGGTGTGGGGAAGTTGGGGTTCCTATGGCCAGGAACCTCAGTGAACTTAAACCACTGGTGATGTAACTGGTCTGTTGCGAGGCTACTGTTTCCACACACACACCCGTAGGCAATAAGCTATTGTTGCAGTATATAGAGAGCTCAGCCCAGTGATCTGGGTGGAGGCAGAGGCGCTAGTGCTTGACTTACTGCCAGGAGAACAAGCCAGGTCATAAACCCTTTCACACCAAAGAAACGTTCTACTGTCATTCCTTTGGTCACACTGAATCTATAGCGAACTTGCCCGGGAGCTGAAACCCATTGGTAAGACATAAGGTGAAGTTTCTCCAATTCAAACTTTATGCAAGCAGTTATTTCATTTATTGATTCATCAAACTTAAGTGTCTGAAGATATTTTATTATTTAAAATTAATTCCCTTTAGGAGAGTGATGACATTGGTGTTGGCAATTCATAGTAAAAATAGCCTAATATAAAAATTGTAGTGCTCTGCTCCTTTAGACCATGCTCCAATGAATAAATAAACATGGAATTGGAAATATTAGTAATTCTAACTCTGTAAAGTACCATATTTAAATATTTACTAATAGAATTTGCTTATATCTGTCTTTTGCATTTGTGTTTCTCCCCAAGGTTAATCCTATGGGATTGTGTTTCATTTTTCTATATTTTCATTTAATGGGAATAAAGAATTTTGTACCTTTACCTGTTTACTTGATGGTCCACTGGTGAAAATTTGAATTTTTCATTAGGTGTACTTAGATATAATTGGAATTCAGTTTTATCCTTTAAGATAGCAAGAATAAGAGGGGCAGAGCCAAGATGGCAGCGTGAGTAGGATAGTGGGAATCTCCCAAAAACATATATATTTTTGAAAATACAACAAATACAACTATCCCTAAAAGAGAGACCAGAAGACACAGGACAACAGCCAGACTACATCCACACCTGCGAGAACCCAGCGCCTGGTGAAAGGGGTAAGATACAAGCCGTGGCCCGGCAGGACCCGAGGCCCCTCACCCCAGCTCCCGGCGGGAGGAGAGGAGTCGGAATGGAGAGGGAGAGGGAGCCCAGGACTGCTGAACACCCAGCCCTAGCCATCCACACCAGAGCACAGACACAGTGCATATGTGGGGTGCTGGAAACTAGGGAAGCAGGACAGTAAGACCTGTGAGTGGGTCCCAAAGCCAGTGCCCCTGTGACAAAGAAAAGTGAGTGCTTTATGAAAGTCTTAAAGTGACAGGGACCCCACAGCTGGACAGAAGCATCCCAGGGCACAGTCTTAGCAGCTGTAAATTCCAGGGAACTCCGGGCGCTTTAACCCCCTGGGCAACAGCTCTGAGACCTCTCATGGAGGTAAACAGCCAAACAGCCCCCCATCCATTACCCATCCTGGGCCCTGACATAGAGCAGCAGCCGGAGGCTGGCCACGCCCACAGCAAGGGAGGTTCCTCCATACCAGCTGGACAAGATACAGAGACCTAGTCTACACGCAATTGCCCATCACAAGCCACTAGGGGTGGCAGTTGTCCCAGTAAAGAAAGGCCAGGAGCCAAGTGGAAAGAGTCTTGACTCTCCCAGCTGACAGATGAGTCAATAGCACTCCACTGCACCTATCAACATGAAAAGGCAAAAAAATTTGATCCAGACAAGACTAACCCAGACAGCTTTGACATCTTCTACGTCTTCCCCTGAGAAGGAACCTGGGGAGATAGATTTAACCAATCTTCCTGAAAAAGAATTCAAAACAAAAGTCATAA